CTTTATGGACTGGCTGCTAAGAATATAACCATTTTTCCATTAGTTAATAATTTGCTCTTGGGTGTCTAGGCATTATGCAAAATTGCAAAAATTAACAGCCTACAACAATTAAGTTGGAGGTCTGTTTGATTTTTATTTTGTCTTAGAAAAGACTAAACAAACCAGATTCATCCTCCCTCACTGCCCCACAAAAACAAAAAACAAAACTATTAAAAGGTAGATTGGCATGCTTCCATTTTAATAATATCGGATTCAAAGATAATGTTAATTAGTTGACCAAACATAATAATGTAGAGATGTTTCATCAAGTGTATTAAACAAGATAGGACATAAAGGCTGAAAATATCACCTCCAAATTGTGTAGAGGAACAGGGTCACTGGTGAACTCTACAAGTGGTTCATTATTTGATTCCAGGACACTCTCAGGAGAATTGTGTTCATCTTTATGGACTGGCTGCTAAGAATATAACCATTTTTCCATTAGTTAACAATTTGCTCTTAGGTTACTAGGCACTAACAAAAATTGTAAAACATTGACCCACAGGAATCAAGTTGAAGATCTGTTCTGATTATTATTTTTGTCTTAGAAAAGACTAAATAAAGCAGCCCCATCATTTCTAACCCACCCTGAAAAAAAACCCCTCAAAACTGCTATTAAAAGGTAGATTAACATACTTTCATTTTAGTCAGGTAAGATTAAAAATTAATTTTTATGAGCTGAACAAACATAACAGTGTAGAATTGATTCATCAAGCTCATCAAGAGTAGATGGGACAGAAAGATTGTATATGCAACTTCAAAAGTGTGTAGAGGAATAGGGTCACTGGTAAACTGTACAGGTAGTTCATTATTCGGTTCTAGGAAACACTCAGGAGAACTGGGTTCCTCTTCATGGACTAGCAACTAAGAAAATTACCAATTTTCCATTAGTTAACAATTTATGCACTGGCCCTGGAGTCAAGAGGACTCAATTCCAAACCAGCCTCAGGCACTTACTAGCTATGCAACCCCTCAGCAAGCCACTTAATCCTGATTGCCTCAAAAAAAAAAAAATTAAAAAAGAAAACAATTTGTTCTTGGGAGACTAAGCATTATCCAAAATTATAAAACTTATCAGTCTATAAGAATCAAGATAGAGGTCTGTTGTAATTGGTTTTTGTCCCAGAAAAAAAAAATAAAACAAAAAAAAAAAAAACTAAAAAAAACCTGTCCCAACTGTGCTCCCCCTCAAGAGAAAAAAAAAAAACACCCTCCTTTATCTTGCCACTTATATTTTCCACAATCTCAGTATTTGGTTCAAAGATCTAGATCCTGAAAGATTTGTTTATTAATGTGCCAATAGGATAATGTCTCTATGCCTCTACCATACTTTTTTTTCAGTGTATTATCATAAAACTCTTATCATAAACAAGGATTTTTAGTAAAGTAAATTTACTTATAGTCTGTGGTAATGGATAAACAAGGTTCAAATGGAAAAATAAAGTCCTCATCACCAAACTCTCATTTTCTTCATTAAGTTCAACCTAATTCCCTAATCTCCAAACTTTTTTTTTAAAATTATCAGAATGTGATTAAGATAACACAGAGAGAATTGTAGTTGGGTCTCTTTCCAGTCATAGGATTGATACTGGATTAAGAGTTAGTGGGATCTTGGGAGAGCCCTAACTAAGATCTTTTATTTTGCAAATGAAGAAACTAAGACCCAAAGAGGATAGGTGACTTCTCCAAGGTCACAAATGTACTAAAAGGCAGACACAGGGCTTTCACTTCTTCCAACTTTAAATCAAACATTCCTTCCACTGTACCATGCTTCCTTCTTGCCTAGCTTTTATTTGAGGCACAAGAAAATAAAGAAATAACAAATTCAAGTCAACAAGCCTTAAATAATTGTCTGCTATGCGAAAGCATTATGACAGGAGCTGGGGTTAAAAAGAAGAAAACTGAAAAGTTATTGGTCTCAAGAATCCTATATTCTATGTCAATAGGCAGAGAAAAGGAGTGAGGAAAACGAAATTGTTTTTGCTAAATAGAAAAACTAGACGATCAGCCTTGAATAATCTAGAATTAACTATCCTGTAATTTGTATATAACTTATTAAAAATGACTAGGAATGCTAATACTCAAATTAACAATCATTTAATCACATATCAGGCACCTACTTTGTACCCAGCACTGGTGAAAGAAGTACAAAGAATTTAACAATATCCACTCAAAAGGAACTTACATTCTAACGAAAATAATATCAATGCTTAGCAGATTTATTTGCATTTACCAATCAAAACAAAACAAAAAAGAAATTCACGGTAAATACCATGTAGAAAAAAGGGTTTTGTTTTTGTTTTCCTGACAGTTCACGATAGTGATTCATAAGCATTATTTTGTTAGGTGAAGAAAGAGAATAAACACTCATTAAGGACCTGTTACTGTGCTAAGCATTTTACAAATATTATGTCACTTGATCCTTACAACATTAATGGAAGTACTATTTATTATTCCCATTTTACAGATAAGGAAACTGAGGCAGAGATCATATGACTTGCCTAAGTTCACATAGCTAGTAAGTGTCTGAGGTCAAATTTGAATTCAGGTCTTCCTAACATCAGGCTCTATCCAGTTTCATATCACCATTAGAAAGCAATAAGCTGGGGCAGCTAGATGGCACAGTGGGTAGGGCCTGGAGTCAAGAGACCCTGAATTTAAATCCGGTCTCAGACACTTACTAGCTGTGTGACCCTGGGCAAGTCACTTAACTCTGTTTGCCTCAGTTTCCTCATCTGTAAAATGAGCTGGAGATGTAATTTGCAAACCACTCCAGTATCTTTGCCAAGAAAACCCCAAATGGGGTGAGAGACGCAGACATGACTGAAAAGTGACTGAACAACAAAAATGTGCATGGCATTGGAGATCCAAATACAAAAAAAGGAAATAATCCATCCCTTCCCACTTAGACATATTTTATCAAATACACATAAGCAGAATGGTGAAAAAGAGACAATCCCTAATCTGCCCATGACTATCAACAGGTTCTGGCTATAGTTAAGATGAGAAATCAAGGGGCCTATTCCCTGAATGGGTGTTGCCTCACTCAAAGTGAGAACCTGAAAAGACCTTAGCTTAAAAGGGCCGAGGTCTCTCATTGCATCCTGGACCATCTCCAGTCATCCTGATTGATATCTGGCCACTGGACCCAGATGGTTCTGGAGGAGAAAGTGAGACTAGTGACTTTGCACAGCCCTCCCTTACTCAAATCAAAGGCAATTGCAAGTCATGTCATCATCTCCCTGACGTCATGGTCCTCTTCAAGAATGAAGGACAAACCACAAAAACCACCACAAAATGAGAAACCAAGCACAGAGTCTAGAAAAGGTTAATATACTTTGCTTCCTTTCTACTCATTTTGTTTTTCATGTATATTGGTGTTTGTGGAGGAATGCATAAGAACACTTTATAAAAGACAGATTAGTGTTTATTTGATTTCAATTTAAGCCTGATTCTCAAAGTGATGAACTGTCTAGGAAGCACTGAAAGGAATTAAGATCTTAGAGATGGGTTACAGAAGGCTTTTCAGAAAGAACAAAAGCAGCTACAAACACACATACCCCCCTACAATTAACCTTTGACTCTTGCTTCAGAATTAAAAGACCAAAGGGCCATTTAGTCCAACCAAGGGTGTGGAACCTTCAGCCTTGAGGTCACACGTGGCCCTCTAGGGCCTCAAGTGCAGCCCTCTGAATCCAAACTGTACTTGAGGACCTAGAGTGCCACATAAGGCCTCCAGGCCACAGGTTCCCCACTCTTGGGACTCCAACCCCTCACTTCATGGGTGAGGAAATTAGGGCTCAGAGGGGCCAAGTGATTTGCCTAAGGTAGGTTATGAAACCAGATATGACTACTACTTCCAAACAACTATGGTCATTAATAATAATATTCAATAATTACATAGGCTTAAGGGCTTATAGGACACTTTACATTTTATCCTTCCAATAACTACTAGCTACTAAAATATGACAAATAAAGGACCTGAAACTCAAGGAGGTAAATGATTTGCCCATGGCCATACAGTTGGTGTCAGTGGGAGAATTCAAACTCAGATCTCTCCTAACTTCAAGTTCAGTATTCTTACCATGACAGCACACTAACTCTCATTAATTCCCTTTAATATGCCAGAATACTATGGAAGTCCTTAATAACTCTGCCATTTAAAGACAAAAAGGTAATGACTAGATCAAATTCCATTTTCTTCCAGAGGTCCTTCTCATTTCCCCATTTCTCCCAGCTGCCAATGCCTTCCTAATGGCAGATCTTCTCTCTCTCTCTCTCTCTCTCTCTCTCTCTCTCTCTCTCTCTCTCTGTGTGTGTGTGTGTGTGTGTGTGTGTGTGTGTATTTATGTATGTATATACAAGGTGACTTCTCCATTGAATGTGAGATCCCTTAAGGCAGAGACTGTTTTTTTACCTTTTTTTTTTTTTGTATCCCCAGCACTTAGAATAGTGGCTGGCACATAGCAAGCAATTAAATGCTTGTTGATTTTAGAGTTCCCCTTTGCAAAAACATTCAAATTCTATTAACTTTTTTCCCTTTTGGGACCAAGAGGTACAAGGTAAAAGGGTGACACAGGAACTGTGCAGTGGGGTACTCAGGATGAAATAATAAGAACGACTGATCTAGCAATATCAGGAAAATATATCAGTGCTTGGTGTACTGCTGGCATTCACCAATCCAAGTGAATTTAAAAAACAAGAAAAAAAAACACATACTCTTTAGGAAATGACTACAGAAGAAAGAAGAAACATTTGTACATGTCAGTGAGATCAATACAAACTTGTCAAACTGAATCACATTTTAATAGACTTAATGATTTTTAGAAATTATATGCAAGGTGAAAACAATTTAATCATTAATAGCATTTTCCCATTTTCTATTTTCATTTTCCAAAAAGGTTCTAGGGATGAGAGGGAGGAGTAGGAGAAGCAAAGCAGGGCAAAGAAGCACAGAAGGAAAAAAGAGATTTTTAAAAAAAGACAAACTGAATTGAAACTTAAGTAAAGCCAAGAAACTAGTTTAAGTCAAGAACCATTAAAACTTTTCAATATATGGCATATTTTAAATGCACCGATAATTTTTACACATTTTAACAGTTTTAAAATTTATATCATGGAAAAAAATAATTGTACTAACCAGAAATTTTATATCATTCATAAACAAATGTTTTAAAAATAAATTTCCAAATTTTTCCAACTTATTTCAAAAGAATCTATATATCCTTCAGGTTTTTATTTGTTATTTTCAAATTATTATAAAAGAAATGAATAGTAGATAAAAGATTTGATATAAATATGTCATTTTCTAAAAATCTTGGTTTGCATAAGGTCACAAATTTTTCTTAACTGTATTGTCACTGATATCAAAACTCCATTAAAAAGTATTTTTTTCCCTTTACTGACCAATCTTTTTGG